CTAGCACTCATAAATATCTGTGGATCACTAATTAATCAATCCATTAATTACTGCCTGTAATTCACTCCGAATTCTCTGTGAATGCTTAATTAAGCCAGCAGTTAAAAACTGCTTGTCTCTTTTCCATATGTCTATTGATCACAAATCAATAATTTGATCACTCTTTAATATCACTAATCTCAAAATAACCAATTAATCTGCAGATATAAATCAAACCTCACTCACATGAGAGTTTTCTGTCAAAGTCTGTTCAGTTTGAAATAAAGTGATATTCCACTCATACCATTAATGCTGCTATTTTCCGCACAGGTTAACCAAAGCTTGCTCATGGAAGAAATCATACAATCAATTATTTTTCCAAAACAGCAGTGGAGCAAAGACCAGCGATGAAGAGACAGGAATAGAAGCAAGGCTCTAATAGTTCCCATAGCAACACACGCATCCACAAGTTTGTCTTTCAGCTTTCATTTTGAAACAAGTTACGGTGAGAGGAAGATGAGGCCAGTGTGTGACATCAGCCATTCACAATATTATTCAGACAAGGGCTGATTTTACAATTCAATTTCAAACCTTCACTCAATTTTGGTAGTGATTGAGCAATAATCAAGCATCTGTTCTGCAACAGGATATGTCTAATGGCTTTAAAAATATCATGCTCTGGGTATGCTTACAACATGAAGGCTTCTTGTGGCACAGTGGTAGTGTCCCTACATCTGTGCCAAAAGACCCAGATACACGTGACAATAAATCACCTGCTCCAGAATGTATCATTACATCCTTGAACTGTGTGGTTTTAAAAAAATCTCACAACTTAATATAGCAATACACTCCAGTAATGAAGGGCTTTCATGAACTTTATCTGCACCTTCCTTGAAAGGAGATGTCAGTTGTCTAATAAACAGCTATTATAGTTATTTGCGTGACTGAATATTGCACAAATATAACCACGAGGACTTTACGTCTCACCCCGAACCAATCAAAATGATGACTTATATCAATCCTTCCCTGGCTCTGATTGTCACTTTTATTGACTGCCTTTTTATGTCCTGCTGGACAATGTTGGCTTCAGTTTCTCACAGTGTGATGTTTGTCGATGACCTGAAGAGTTGGCTGGAATTTTCCAGATCTTTCGTGGATGGGAACTGCCAAAACGTGACAGATAGCTTTTGTTTGAGTGGGAGTGAGGAGTGTGTGTGTCTGCATGTGTGTGGCTCTATTTGTGTGCACGTGTGTGTGTGTGTGTGTGTTTGTGTGTGTCTCTGTGTCTGTACTGTGTGTGTCTCTGTCTATGTCTGTGTGCATGTGTGTGTCTGTGTGTGCACCTGCGTGGCTGCGTGCATGCGTGTCTGTGTGTGTATCTGCGAGTGTCTGCGTGCATGCGTGTCTGTTCGCGTGTCTGTCTGTGTGTGTCTGCGTGTATGTGTCTATGTGCATGTCTGTCTGTGTTTGTGTCTGTGTCTGTCTGTGTGCGTGTGTCTCTGTGTCTGTGTGCGTTTGTGCCTGCGTGTGCGTGTGTCTGTGTGTGTCTGTGTGCATGTCTGTCTGTGTTTGTGTCTGTGTGTGTCTGTCTGCATGCGTGCATCTGTGTGTGTGTGTGTGTGTGTGTGTGTGCGTTTGTGCCTGTGTATGTGAGTGAGTGTGTGTTTGTGTGTGTGTGGAGAGGGGTGCCCAATGTCTTTCCATGACCATGACATTTGTCCAGCGGTGGGAATAGTGTTAGACTGGCACTTAATGGTCACTTTATACCTCTGGGAGAATTTTGCACACATCAGTGGGTTTGGGCTTGACCCCCATGTTGGTTGACTACGTTTCTTTAGGGAAGGGCTGGTTCCTCCCTAATAGCCCATGGGACAGCACCCCCCGTAGCTATGACACTGCTTATGGTGATGATCAGGCTGTGCTCATCAATCCCACTGCCTCCCCAATTGCCAGGGCCTCTCTGCCTGGCCCCAAAGTTGCCCATTTCCAGTTACCTTTTATCAACCATGTCCAACCATTGAGGTGCTTTCATCCTGATGATGCAATCCCAGCAACAGTCATCATTGGTGGTGGCGCTGTTGAGGCTGCTGAGCTGCTGGTCGTCAGTGGCACTATGTCTCCTGGGATTCTGTCACTTCGTGGAGTAAATTCCTGCTTTCTGCTTCAGGGGATGTGACTTCTACCTTCTCCAAAAAATTCAGTCTGATAATTCTGTTACTTCCTCCAAAGATGTTGCCTGACCTGCTCGGTATTTCCAGCCATGTTCCATTTTTGTTCCAAGTTTCAAGCACTCATAATATATATTGTATCAAATGGAAAACTGGACTGAAGGTGCCTTAATTAGGCAGTGAAATGGTACTCAACATGGTCACATCAAAAACTGTAGCCCAAGCTCTAAATGCACAGACAGTTTTAAATAACCATCACTATGTCTCAGACCCTTGAGCATTCATGACGTTGGAGCCACCACTGGCAGAATGGGGTCGATGTGCTTCTCTTCATCTTTCCCAATGTTTCCGTACCACAAGAAGCTGCTTGGTTTTATTAGTGTGTGCAGCTTCCATTTCAACCATATTCCCTCCCAATGCCCCGCTACAATGTTTTACAATCTCTGTGTCTCACAGATGACATTAGTTTCTCTCACTGCGTCTTCAATTGTCTTATGTTAATATCACTTTAGCTGTTTAACTTGTATCTTGTTTTCCACTTAAGTAATTTGCAGATTATTCTGTTTTTTGCATGTGCATGCTTGTACGCAAGTGTGTGTTTGAATACAAATACATGTGTGAAGTTGGGTACGTGTATGTACATGAGTGTGCTTGGTGTGTACAGAGGTGAGTAGGTGATTGCATGTTTGTGTGTGAGTCTAAGTGGGTAGATACCTGACTATAGGTGTGTAGATGTGTGGGTGCGTAGGTGGGTAGGTGTGTGGGTGTGTAAGTGTGTGCGTAGTTGGGTCGGAGTGTGTATGGGTGTGTGTAGGTGTGTAGATGTGGGGTGCGTAGTTGGGTAGGGGTGTGTGTGTGTAGATGTGTAGATGTGTGAGTGCATAGGTGGGTAGGTGTGTGGGTGTGTAAGTTTGTGTGTACTTGGTTAGGTGTATGTGTGTAGGTGGTGGATGTATGGATGTGTAGGCATGTGTGTAGAGATATGTGTGTAGGTTGGTGTGTGTGTGGATGTGTAGGTTTGTGTAAGTGTGTGCATGGAGGTTTATATATTGGTGTGTAAGTATGAGTGTGAGATTGGAGGTCTTTGTGTAGGTAGGTTTGTGTGGGTATGCAGTGTGTAGATGTGAGTGCGTAGGTGTGTAGGTATAGGTGTGGAGATCTCTGTGTAGGTGGGTTCGTGTGAGTGTATAGTGTGTGTAGGTACGTGTGTCTATGTTGGTGTGTAGTGGGTATGTGTAAGTGTGCTGTATTTGTGGGGGTGTCTGGCTATGTGGGTGAGTACATAATGTGTGTGGGTAATGTGTAGTAAGTGTTAGTGTGTGAGAGTGGGTGTGAGTATGTATGGGTGAGTGTGTGTGGGTGGGTCTGTGTGTATATGGGTGAGTATGTAGTGGGTGAGTGTGTAGTGTGTGAGTGAGTGTCTGTGGGTGGGTGAGAGTGTGTGTGTGTGGGGGGGTTGGTGAGTGTGTGTATGGGTGTGAGTAGTGTATGTGGGTGAATGTGCGTGTGTGTGTGTGTGTGTGTGAGTGTAGTGTGTGTAGATGGGTGTCAGTGGGTAGGTGGGTGTTTATTGTGTGTAGGTGGGTGTGAATGTGTAGGTGAGTGTGTAATGTGTGTTGATGCGTGTGTTTTTTAATGTGTGTTTTTTGTGTGAACAGCTGAGGAGGTGACAGGTTCGCTTCTCTTAAGGACGTTAATGAACTAGTTAAATGTTTATAGAATTCTGGTTGATTTCACCGTCATTCTACAGTGTGTAATTTTACCAGATTTAACTGACTGAATTTTACAACCTTCCTCTGTGGAATTTACATTCACATCTGCTGAATCGCTGGTCAAGTACCATATGCATGAGGCCAGCACACTCATATTAAAGGGACTGGAAGCATCAGCTTCAGGCAAACCATTAAATAGAGCAAAGTAGCCACAGAAACATACATGAATCTGGGATCGATCAGTCTGAGACTCAGTCATTTCTTGCAAAACCAATTTTGTAGCTCGCTTAATAATATCAATAGGCACATTATTAAATACAATCCTGGAGGGGAGGCTGAAAGTTCATTGCGACTACAGGGAAACCGCTCAAAAGTCAAGGAAGTCTTTCAACGTCAGAGTGAACTGGTTCGCAGCAAGTGCAACATTTGATTTTATAACACAGCCCCTGAGCAGCATATGAACTGTTTGCTTTCTTGGCATGGCTTTGGGTCTCATAGCTCAGGCAATCTGTCACTCTGTGGCTGCTCTCATATGGCACAAACAACAATATAAGCCACGAGTGGATAAAGAAAAGGATGTCAGAACTTAGAATGGATCAGTAGAAGGACTAAGAAGCAACTTTAGCCTATTTACTCTCTCTCCTTTGTACCATTGCTGATGGCTTTCTCAAAGACTGAGCAGAGACACGGTGGGCCGATTGGCCTCCTGTGTAACTCCATCGATCATTGCGGGAGACTAGGCGCATTTTATTTAAGGCACGGTGCAAATAAATTTGCCAGGGAAGCGTTAAGAACACATTCTCAAGAGTGACAGTTACTCACTTGAAAAACCTGTACATCAGTCTCACAATGAAGTGAAATGCAATGTAAATTGGATTGGTTATGTCTGTCAGCTCGTTGAAAGGAATTTCAGCAGATCCAAGACTTTTACAAGAATAAATGATTACTCACCACCTTCTCAGCTCTGCTCTCATCAGAGATTTAACTGTGTAGAACGAAAGAGAGAGAAAGAAAGAGAGAGAGAAAAAAAGAGAGAGAGAGCAAAAGAGGAAGGAGGCATGGAAAGTAAAGGCTGACAGCTTTGAAACATTGCAGCTTTATTTAGAGAGTCTCTTTCGCAGTGGCTTTCACACTCACTTACCTTCGTTTCTGACTGTGTGTCAGCCTTCTTCAGCTGCGGTTCACTGTACGGTTGTTCTCCCAATGGGCAGCTGGATCCGCTCTGCTGCTGGGCAGCTCCTGCATCAAAACAAAACAAATCGAGAATATCAAACGTGCCATGCTGACATCCTTGTGCATATGCAACAAACCTAAACTAGAACTGCACAGATTTTGCAGTGTAGAAGCAGGCCATTGCACGCTGGTGTTTGTGAGGTGTATGAGTCTCCTCCCACTCACCTTCATCTCAGCCTATCAGCAAAACCATCCGTTCATTTCCCACTCGTGACTTTGTTTGTCTCATCTTGTGCCTCCAGTTCTGGGTTTAAGTTTAACTCCAGTGCAATGCTGAGAGAGTGCTGCATCGTCAGAGGTGCTGTCTTGTAGGCGAGACATTGAACCAAAACTGTATCTGCCTGCTTTGGGGGATGCAAAATGCTGTCCACCACTATTTCGAAGCAGGGGTGTCTTTCCAGGTATCTTGGCAAACGGTTGTTTCTCAGTCAACATCACAAAAAAAACTGGACTATCTGGTTATTACCCACACTGCTGCCTCTGGGCGTTTGTTCTGCAAATTAGCCATTGTGTTTCTTCGATAACGTACGACATGACTTCACCTGATAAGTATTTTATCGGTTATAAAGTGCTATGAGCTGTCCAGTAATTTTGCAAAACACTACATAAAGGCACATTTGTTTATTATTTATCAAACACCCTTTGCATGTATGCTACTAGTCCCAACTCTTGGGAGGCGATGGCCCTAGTGGTATTATTGCTGGACTGTTAATCTAGAAACCGCAGTAATGTTCTGGGGACACGGGTCTGAATCCTGCCATGGCAGATGGTGGAATTTGGATTCAATAAAAAATCTGGAATTAAGAGCCTAATAATGACCATGAATCCATTGTTGATGGTCAGAAAAACCCATCTGGTTCACTAACGTCCCTGAGGGAAGGAAACTGTATCCTTACTTGGTCTGGTCTACATGTGACTCTAAAACTATGTGGTTGACCCTCTGGGCAAGAAATGCTGTCTTCGCCAGCAACGCTGTGAATCATCCTGTGAATTAATTAAAAAAAACTCCTCCCTGTGTCAGTGAGCCGCAATTTCTCTAAGATGAGTTTCTTGTTGGATTATTAATGACTACCTTATATTTATCACACCAAGTTGTTGTCTTCCCTGTAAGTGGAAACATGCTCTCTACATTTACCCCATTTAAATCCTTTCAGAATGTTAAAGACATCTATCAGATCACACCTTCAGTGGGAAGAATCGAGCTTGTCCAATCTTGCCTGACAGATAAAGCCTCTCTGCTCTGGTTTCATGCACAGTACATGCCTCAGCTGGCTAAACACAATCTGACAATGCACTGTTTGGGCCAGTGCAGAGTTCGGGGATAGCGTTGTGAAAGGGTACAGTGTGAAGGTACCAGAAGAAAGACAGAAGAATAATTTCAGATGAGACAGCACTCCCGCCAACTGATGACTGGTATTCCATTGTGAACGAGCTGAATGCATGGCTTTATGAAATGTCATTTGTGTTGTACTTCTTTTCATAACTTAATAAATTTGTGAACTCTCTGATGAGGGTTTGTACTTGGCTGGCCTCCTGAGTCTTGCGATTAATTGTTAAATTGGATTTCAAAATCAGACAATATGGAGAGCCAAAGTCTTTCCCGCTTGAATTACGTGGGCATTGAAGAGAAATTTGTGAAAATTGGGTGAGATCCAGCAAGGAGCCTCCTGATGTTGAGATGAAAGAGCCCATTTTCCAGGCCAGGTGTTGGCTGGTAGGTTGAGATTCTCACTGGTGAGCAGTAGGAGACGTATTAATATGGAACCTTGCCCTTGATCACTCTCATTACCACCTCATCTCACCTCATTTATTTGCAATTTCCCATTCTCCTACCAACTGGATAGAAACTTGACACTGAGAATTCCCAACAGGTAGATTGGAGTGGGTACCTGGTGACTCCGACTGGCTCCTCTGGATCTTTATCCCAGCACCCATCACCAAAATTCAGGGCACACTGGATGCGCAGCAATCGCAACCGCAACTCTAACCCTAACCCCAACCCTAACCCTAACCCTAACCCTAACCCTAACCTCACGTCCATGGACATACATTAGCCTCTAAACACCCTCATGCCATATTTTCTATTCACTTACACCTTTGCACTTTGGAATGCAGTGGGGACTTTGATTGTAATGCTGCTATGGCAGTCTACGTGAAGGAACTAGACTCAGCTCACAGTGTGGATCAGGCATCATCTCAAGGCTGCTCACTCACTCTCTTCATGTTCACTCATGTTGTACATACTTCAATGCCCACAGCATCTCTGCCTACCTTTTCGCACTTTGGCCTCTCATCCTAATGGATCAGAATACTGGCATCTTGCTGTGCCGCTTAGCACAGGCAGCTTGTCGTGCTTGTCAGCAGTGACCAATCAACAGAGGGGGTGTCTTGCTGTATGGCATGGTCTGAAGTGAATCTCACACCTACAGCAGCCCATACCACAAACACACTGCATCAACCATGTCCCAAACTCGATGCAGAGGTTAGTCCTCAGTCAAGGCAAAGGCTGGGGGGTGGGGACCTGGGCTGTCCTCAGCCAGGAGATGGCGGGGGGAGGGTGGTTTCAGTACAGAGAGACCAGGGCAGCATCTGCAATCGGTCCAGTGGCTTGGCCACAGTCAGTTGTCCACTTGGGCAGTCAAGATCCTGGAGTGGTGGGGTGGAGAGGGGAGCCTGTCTCATGACAGTCCCCAGTCAGACCCACAGCTTCAGTGCAGGCAGTCAAGGGATGCGCACAGTCAGCGCTCAGGGGTCTGCACTGAGTCAAAACTGTCCATTCAAGTCGGGCAGCAGGTGGGCTAGGGTCAGTTCTGGAGGTCAGCACTACGAAAGTCAAGGAGGGTCCCCACCGAATATGGCCGTGGTAGGAACGTGATGGGATTTGATACTGGGGATTGGGGTCAGCAACCTGGGACGCTGACGGGGCAAGGATGGTGAAGGGGACAAATCAACAAATAAGGCGAGCCAATAGTGCCTGGGAGGGTATGGGATGTTGGGGAGACAGTGCCAAGTGTGACCTGCATTGCCTTTCATAATCTCTTAAATTCCTAAATATGAACAATGAATGGAAAATGGCTGTGACCATGCCCATATTGCAGAGTCAGTTTTTCTTTTCTTCACTTCTGAAGGTCAGGATTCAGGATGGTGTTCAAGAGGTAATCACATCAATGGTACATTTACAGAGTACCGGCTGAATTCATGTACAATCATATCACTGTGCATGTGAAAGGCACGGTGTTCAATGTTATTTTTAACTCATTCACAGGATGCAGGCATCACATTTATTGCCCACACCTAATTGCCCAAAAGGCCCACTGTGTGGGCTGCAAATTCTGGTCAAAAGAAATCCTGACTGTATCATTCATTGTTTGTTGCAAGTTGGAAATAGTCACATCTGTGAAGCATAAGTCATCAAGGACTGCCTTAAAAATTGCACCTGCTGACCAATAAGTGCAAAAATGATGCAAGATCTCCTTGGCTGCAAGGGGGCGCTGTACTTGCATCCTATCACTTTGAACTGTAAGTATAATGCAACATGGTCTTGCATGCAACTGTTCCATTTCTGGGTGGTGTGGGCCTGGTAGGACACAATCTTAGCTTTTATGCAATCTCCAACTCTCTACAATAAGACTGCTGCTACCTTTATTGGAATAAGATCTAACATCAAAGGAACATGTCAAGGATTTTCATGGTCCTCATTGTCAGAGTGTTCCAGGCGTATGGAGGACTATGTTAAGCCGTCATTTGTAAGTAATGCAAATGCTGACTGCTCGCATTGATAAAGACCTGTTTTGTTTCTTGTGTTGACCACACAGGATCATTGTAAGTATGACTGATGTATCCAGCCACTGCAGGGGCTATCGTTGCTCATGCTGCGATGCAACAGACACGCAGAGAAATTCAGGTTAAACCACCACCAGTTGTCGTTCTTTAATGAGACAACAGCTCTATGGTCTCTAAGACTATGGTGACATTACCTTTACATGTGTGATCATCGGTACCACATCTTGGAAGTCTATGCCAGGTACCCAGAGTTCTGCCATGATACCTATATTTTTAACTGGCAATCTGTGAATAGTATATAAATTTAAACAGGATCAATTTGAAAGATATTTCACCTCATTTGGAATGTAGCCAGGAAGTTCAAGTGGCCAGAAGACGTTTTGACCTTCATGTTACAGTCTGTCCTGATAGGTTACAGTTAGGGATGTGTATGCCAGTTTGTTAGAAGGGTAATCCACAGCCCAGCAAATTGTTAAAACAGCAATACTCAATGCTTTTCAGCTTATCTCTGAAGCTGATCAAATAAAATTTAAGACCTTAAGAAATAAACCTCTTCAGTCACTTGTCCAAATTGCAAGAGAAAAAGATGCTGTAGGATCAACGGTTTCAATCACTGAAGTTAGAGAGAGATTTTGAGAACTTGGGGGAAATCATGTTTATGGAAGAATTCTGAAATAGTATTCCAGTAACCATTACAACTTATTCAGATTTAGGTACCAAAAATCCAAGAACTGGCAGTTCTGATAGGTATCTATGTCATCTCAAACAAACAGGAAGGAAAATAATCATAAGGAAATTGGAAGAATGGAAAATCTGCAGATTATGAAGGTATCAGCTTTAGGGAGCAAACAGGGGATGCCAAAATAATAAAGAAAGAGTATTAGAATCTAGAAGTGATATAAAGAAAATAGTATACTTCCATTGGAAGACTAGACATTTAGAAACAAATTGCTGGAAGTTAAATACGAGATCAGTTCAGTGGTAGGAATGCCTGAGAAATCCTCAGAAGAAGTGGTATCAGGAAAGGAAATGATCCTTAAAACTATAGCAGTAGTACAGGCACAATGAGCTCACTCAGAACCTACTAGGAAGGGAGGGATGTTTTAGGTGAGTCAAGCAAATTCTTCTTCCATTATTGATAAAGACAAACAGACAACATCTGAATATTTTATTTCAAAGTGAGAGGCATTTCTTTATTCTTCCACTCAAAGCGGTAGATCAAT